TCGGGTTTAATCTTTGCGATGGGTATACAGCAGACAGCTCATTGTGCAGCTTTGCGCTTAAATAGTGCAAAAAGTATTATTAGGCCTAAATATGTACCTAAATTATTGTCGAAGCACGAAATGCTTAGTGGTCCGTCTGAAGCAGGGCACATTCAAACAGAAGGAAATGAATTTCGCTCGTGAGCTTTGAACAACTCATCCTCCTCGTGCTCGTACTAATCAAGAAAATGGAGGGAGATCATTCTCCCGACGTTAGGACTTTCCCTGTACAACGTCATACGAATCACCGAGTCTGAGTTGTGCGTTCTCTTTCCAGCCCTATCTTGAGTTAGACTGTCAGAGCGTGGGTATCAGCAAACACACGCCGAGAAGAAGAAACTGATATTTACTTTTCATTATGTTATTCACCATAGTAACCATTGCCGGAATAATAGATGTCTAACTAGTACCATGCATGCATGCGTGTGTGTGTGCATCTTCTTTACACGATTCTAAATGCACACGTTTTAATCCATAACCATTGTACTGAAAATTTCAAAGAAGCATTATGCTTAGAGGCGAACACATCAAAGAGCAATTTTTTCGCTAAATTTAATTGCTTCGAGTGTTGAATAGAAAATCACTACAACTCATGTTTATCTTAACACCAGTACCGTGCGTGGGTCGCGTGACCTGTTAACTGTCTGTTTGTATAAATTTAACACCATAACTTCTTGTTTCGGCCTAATTCTAGACATATAGCTTATCCGTTTTCGTGGTGTTCGTGTGTTATTTGTATCACAGGCAACATTGAATCTACGTAAGACTTCCTTCCCTTGCGGGACAGCGGTAAGTCTTCGGATTTATAATGCTAAAATCAGGGGTTCGATTCCTATCGGTGGACACAACAGATAACTTGATGTGGCTTTGCTATAAGAAAACACACACACGTTGACGTCGTTATTCAAGTATTATATTTTAGAGCGTTTATCAATGTATTATATGCGTAACATTATAAATACATAATATTTCCTTCTGTGTTCGCTGAAATCATTATTTATGTATTACATTTTAAGACATTTATCAAAATTGTATATGCATAAATATTTTACAACAAGTACACATCAACTAGGACAAGTTTACCACATTACCTTTAGTAACTAAACAAGTATACATCAACTAGGACGAGTTTACCACATTACCTTTAGTAACTAAACAAGTATACATCAACTAGGACGAGTTTACCACATTACCTTTAGTAACTAAACAAGTACACATCAACTAGGACAAGTTTACCACATTACCTTTAGTAACTAAACAAGTATACATCAACTAGGACGAGTTTACCACATTACCTTTAGTAACTAAACAAGTACACATCAACTAGGACGAGTTTACCACATTACCTTTAGTAACTAAACAAGTACACATCAACAAGAACGAGTTTACCACATTACCTTTAGTAACTAAACAAGTACACATCAACAAGAACGAGTTTACCACATTACCTTTAGTAACTAAACAAGTACACATCAACTAGGACGAGTTTACCACATTACCTTTAGTAATTAAACAAGTACACATCAACAAGAACGAGTTTACCACATTACCTTTAGTAACTAAACAAGTATACATCAACTAGGACGAGTTTACCACATTACCTTCAGTAACTAAACAAGTACACATCAACAAGAACGAGTTTACCACATTACCTTTAGTAACTAAACAAATACTCATCAACTAGGATGAGTTTACCACATTACCTTTAATAACTAAGCAAGTACACATCAACTAGGACGAGTTTACCACATTACCTTTAGTAACTAAACAAGTACACATCAACTAGGACAAGTTTACCACATTACCTTTAGTAACTAAACAAATACTCATCAACAAGAACGAGTTTACCACATTACCTTTAGTAACTAAACAAATACTCATCAACAAGAACGAGTTTACCACATTACCTTTAGTAATTAAACAAGTACACATCAACTAGGACGAGTTTACCACATTACCTTTAGTAACTAAACAAATACTCATCAACAAGAACGAGTTTACCACATTACCTTTAGTAATTAAACAAGTACACATCAACTAGGACGAGTTTACCACATTACCTTTAGTAACTAAACACTTTCGTCTAATATATCGTCAAGGATAATGTTACGACATTAGCGCTAGTAGCTTAATACTTGCCTGTAATGTATCGTCGAAGATGAATTTACATCAGACCAGTAGCTAATTAATTTGCTTGTGAGTAGCCCAAGAGTTGGCAGTTGGGTTGGTGATGACTAGTTACCTTCCCTCTAGTCTTACACTGCTAAATTAGGGACGGCTAGCGCAGATAGCCCTCGTGTAGCTTTGCGCGAAATTCAAAAACAAAACAAAACAAAACAAACAAGCAGAAGAAAAGTACTCGTATTTCTCTTCAAAGCGCTCCGGTTGTTGGGTTTCTTGTTTTGTGGTTTGTCAGCACTTTTTAAATTCTGCGTGATTCTTTTAGTATCATAAAACTAACATATTCTATTTACTGCTCTCGAAGTAGAAACAAACAAGATCAGTAAACGAGCAATTACATTGCATATAAATTGATGTTTAAGCAAAAACTTCTGTTACAAACGGACTGCTCAGCTACTACTTTCCAGTACATGACTTTCATGCATTTATAAGAAATTACTTTTAGCCCTTTGCTTGTTTTAGGCTAGAGTTGCTGGGGAAACGTTTTATAAATTGTTCTAATCCGGTCCATTCCTAGACCATAGTTTCTAAGGATACGTGCAGATATTATCATTAGAATACAATACGGTTTAGGCCACAGTTGCTAAGGAAATGTGCAGATATTATTATTGAAATCCGGTACGGTCCAGACTACAGTTGTTAAGGAAATGTGCAGATATTATTATTGGAATCCAGTACCGTCTAGGCTACAGTTGCTAGGGAAATGTGCAGATATTATTATTGTAATTCGGTACCGTCTAGGCCACAGTTGCTAAAAAAATGTGCAGATATTATTTTTGGAATCCGGTACGGTTTAGACCAGAGTTGCTAAGGAAATGTGTAGATATTATTATTGGAATCCGGTACCATCTAGGCCACAGTTGCTAAGGAAATGTGCAGATATTATTTTTGGTATCCAGTACCGTCTAGGCTACAGTTGCTAAGGAAATGTGCAGATATTATTATTGGAATCCGATACCGTCGAGGTCACAGTTGCTAAAGAAATGTGTAGATATTATTATTGGAATCCGGTACATTTTAGCCCAGAGTTGTTAAGGAAATGTGCAGATATTATTATTGGAATCCGGTACGGTCTAGACCAGAGTTGCTAGGGGAACGTGCACATATTATTTGGATAGAGTCTATTAAGAATGTGAATATACTTGTTTTTCTGTTTTCCCACAAATGTGGGGAAGAAAGGGTATCGACAAATTGTGAACAAGTCGTTTCACTGAAGAATCGTTCCCTGGTGGGAGCTGAAACCGTGATTTGATTCGCCGTGGTGGACATAGCGCATAATGTCCATTGTGTAGTTTTGCGCTAAAGCAAAGAAACAAACAATAAAAAATTAACTTTTAAGACTTGTAAAAATCCCTAAATAAAGAGCTAGTTGGTGATTAACGTCATTTTTGCTAAAAAACTATTTACCACTATCTGTGAAATAACAGCAAACGAGCTTAAGAATGATGTTTTAAAAAAATCTAATTGTCTGTGAAACAAAATTTAGACACGGAGTTGATAGTATTGTTTGCAGGTACAATATTCTTATTGTACCTTCTTGCTAATTGTCTGTAAAACAAGATTTAGACACGGAGTTGATAGTATTGTTTGCATGTACGATATTCTTATTGTACCTTCTTGCTAATTGTCTGTGAAACAAGATTTAGACACAGAGTTGATAGTATTGTTTGCAGGTACGATATTCTTATTGTACATTCTTGCTAATTGTCTGTGAAACAAGATTTAGACACAGAGTTGATAGTATTGTTTGCAGGTACGATATTCTTATTGTACCTTCTTGTTAATTGTCTGTGAAACAAGATTTACACACGGAGTTGATAGTATTGTTTGCAGGTACGATATTCTTATTGTACTTTCTGTCTGTGAAGAAAGGGTAAGCCGAAACGTCGGGAAGAATAAAGAAAAAATTATCTGAAGTTGTTTGTCCTCTTCATTGAAAATGTTTTCCATCCTTCAGTTACCACTTAAAACTTTAGAAATAATTAATTTATTACGTTCTGGAACGAAAATGACATATAAGAATTTTTTGATTGGTCAATAACGTTTTTTTTTTCGTTCTTTTTCAGCTTGTTATCTTTATCTCTTTTCTTTGTTTTCAAATATACAGTAATTTGAAAAAAAAAAAACAACAAAAACGATCTTTCTTGAGTTATATTAAATATTTAATTAAACAATTTTAGTATCATTTTATGTAAATAAACCTGATATTATATAAGTTTTAATTTCTTAATTTGAAAGGAAAATTTTAAAATAAGTTCTCAATTTTCACTTCTTCGTGTCAAGTGATGCCTCTATGCTTTAAATTCCCCTTTTTAGATTTTTCATTTCGTTATATGGGTTTCAGAATGTTCATCAATTAGATACACCACTTACATATACTTACAGAGTAGATTTAAATTAAGAACCGCTCGTCTTCTTTATTTTTTAAGATATCAATAAATTCGTTACAATCACAAAAGAAGCGCCCTCAAATATGCATATTTCTGAAACTACTTATCAACTCACATTGACTTGTTAATGATATATACTTATAATCAATAGAAAGGCCACTTTGTGAACGACGTAATTATGATGTATATATTTTCAATTAATTTCGGTAAAATGCTTTACTTCCCAAGTAGATTTTATTGAGGATAAACTGAAGATGGAACTTTGGTAAGTAAAGACATTTGTTTAACATATTTATAGATTAGTTAGAAAGCGAGGTAATTTATAATAGTTTTAGGGCATTCTATTTTACAGTTTGAATTATGTTTTGTTTTAAAATTCTTATTTGAAATCTACATGAATTATTTTTTGGAGAAACAACGTAGTTAGAAAATACAAGGCTTACGGAAACAGGTCACTCGAGTACAAAGCTGTCTCGACGTCTAAAGTAGGTGATAATTTTTTGTTTTTTATGCATTGTTGTAACATGGTTCTTTCGTTGGCGGGTTCTTTTCAATTATCTGACAAAACTAATTCAATGCTCTATCCACATGACGAGAACAAATTAATTTATTTACTCCTTTAATGTTTCTACAAGCTTAAACACTTGTACACACACATAACATGTTGTAGGCCTACGTTAAAATGACGTTTAAACCTCTTTAACAATACTAGGACTAACGCAAACAAATACAGAAGCTACAATATTAAAAATATAATTATAATAGTAACTTGTGTTTCTTTCCTACTGAGAATGTTGCTTAAATTAGATAGTTGGTTGATGCCCGGGAATTAATGGTGCAGTTGAGAATAAGTTGAAATGAGGAGTGTCGATTCCGTGGGTCAACATCTTATATAAACGCCATTTTTTATTTGCAACTTGTACATATTAATTCTAAGGTGAGTAAAATACCGATTAGTTACTTGTTTCGAGTTAAACTTTTGTAATTTAAGGATGTGAATCACGAACTTGTGTGTGAAGTAATATGTATTTCATGTTCATTGTTATTTACAAAATAAAAGTGTAGTAAAGTTGCACGTGTGAACACGATACATTCATTGAATGCCTTATAGTGATAATAAAGATGGCTTACATGTAATTTATTACTTGGAGATGATTTTTTTCTGATTGATGTTTTCAGTGAGGATAGTGAGACATTTCGTTTATTTTAAACTATAAAGTAGAACTAGGGCAAAAGAAAATGCAACAGAAAAAAAGAAAAAAAACACGAAGCAGACTGTTGTAAATTTTGTTGAAAAGTGCAACATAAATATTGTTCTTTCTATAGGCAGGATTTAAGTGCATTTATTGAAGCAGACAGATAAAGTCATACTGTTTTTCTTTGGATGTATCTGGAGTTTACTGTATTTCATGCTTTTTGTGCAATGCTATTCATGAAAATAGAGACATGAACACCAATACAGTACCACTTGACTAGAAAAAAAAATGAACCAGTATTAACCGGTATTTCATTTCGTTCGAACCGGATAGGAACAAAATAAGAATTTCAAAACTTTTGAAACAGGAACTGAAATTTTTGGTTCTTTTCAGAGACCAACAGGAACGGCAAAAAATTCGGTTCCGATTATTGCTTGTGGCAGATGATAGTAAACTAAACAAACTTTGTCGAAACCACACACACAGAAAAAAGAAAGATAAATGGCATAAGGATATAATCCTAAGGGAAGGGATAGACATGGTGACAGCAAAATATTAGACATAACATAGAGCTTAATAAAATTTACCTTTAATATATTTAACATTCTACATCATATATGTTTGTTTTTGCAAAATAACATTATTTTGTAAGCAGAAACTTTTATTCTGATATAATCCTGCCCGTAAAGCTAGAAATACTTAAAGAGATTATGATAATTAATATCAGTTCCTTTTATGATTAGAACGTATTGAATTATGTTGATTACATTCAGTAGTAATATTTGTATGGAGAAATGAGTCGTTTTACCTTTTCGTGGAGACAGTGCATTATCGATTTTTTATTAAGGAAACACGCCGGTAGATGTCGCGTTTCTCGGTGTGACGAAAGAGACGAATCTTGTAGTAGGAAAAGAAAGCAATTAACAACTAGCGTGAACGAAGAAGCGTACGTAGTTCGGGGTGAAGAAGGAAGTCAGACCATAATTTTAGTTTCTAACGTCAAAAGTGAAGTTATCGCTCCCAGATAGGAAATTTAGTCGGGCTTGTTAGGGTTAAGAAGTCAAGTTGTCACGAGAAGCCGGATATCTGTAGAAATAGCGAAACCTTTGTGATCGATTGAAAGTTTAGAAATTAAATAAATAAGCCAGGTTTTGACCCCCCCCCCCCCAATCTAACATTATTATAAAGCGTATACTATAACACTTACTAAAAAACTCAAATTATTTGAATTGACAGTTTTATGGGTCTCATTATTTACAAACTATCTTAAAACAAGTTGTTAAAAAGGAAAGCAATAAATTTAAAAAAATAATTAAATATTTGTTTGTACACTTTTTAGCACCAGATATTCATAACAGTCAATGTCACTGCAAAAGCAGATGTTCTGAAATTCGGTTAAGCCTAATCAGCGGAGTGACGACAGAGGTATGGACGTATTGGGGCAAGCACGACGACCATCGTTTTCGACCCAGATAAGACGGGAAGTTAGCCTAGACTCTCAAGGACCTGGGTCAGGTAAAGTTAGTCTTTCTTTTTATTTTGTCGTTTTATTTCCTAACGTACTCAACTAGTTATGTGGAATTTTATATGATCTAAAGATGGAGAGGTTCTTCAACCTAACTTTTAAATGCTGGTTAAAGCCAGATAAATAATTTTCCCGCTTTAAACGGAATCTTGGCAAAGAAAACAGTTTTTCAGGCGTTTGACAGACAACAGCAGAAAGTAGAAGAAAAGAAACAAAAATCCACTCGTGATTTTTATGTTTTCAGATAAGCACATATCATCTTATCATGACATAAAAATAATATTATAAAAAAATACTATTCATTGATCCTACTTTAACATTTTCTTTAATACATGCTTATAAAATTTAACATTGTTCATACGATGTTGGAAAATAATTTCTTTAGATTTTATCTTCCTGTATATATTTGAATTTAATCTACTAATTTCACAGTTGAAATATTAATCACGTGATTCTCTCGGCAGGATCTGGTGTTTTAATGATGATTATATAGATTTTATTGTGTAACATTCTTTAACATCCGGGTTTATTCTACTGCTTTCACTGTTAAAACCTTAATCACGTTGATCGTACCATATCTGATGTTTTACTGTTGATTGTTTAGATTTTATTGTATAACATTCTTTAACAGCCGGGTTTATTCAATTACTTTCACTATTAAAGCCTCAATCACGTTGATCGTACCATAACTGATGTTTTACTGTTGATTGTTTATATTTTATTGTGTAACATTCTTTAACAGCCGGGTTTATTCTTCTACTTTTACTGTTAAAATCTTAATCACGTTTATCGTACCATATCTGATGTTTTACTGTTGATTGTTTAGATTCTATTGTGTAACATTCTTTAACAGCCGGGTTTATTCTACTACTTTTACTGTTAAAACCTTAATCACGTTGATCGTACCATATCTGATGTTTTACTGTTAATTACTTAAACCTGCTAGTGTATGTCTGCCAACTGCACATGTTGTGCATCAATTTTTGTTTGTTTCCCGTAGTACAAAACTTCCTGTATGAAGTAACTTCATCACAAATAGGTCATACTATATGAAGCAAAGTAAATGTCTTCGTACCAAATATTTAAATAAACAAGCTCAATAAAATAAAGATCGATCTTGAGATTTCCAGTTAATTTTACTTTAAAACTTGTTATATTTCAAAAGGAAATAAAGCCTAATTTAGTTCGTATGAACAGAAACTAGAATACTAACGAACTTTGTAATACAGCTCTGAATGTAGTATGTATAAACAGAAAAATACAATATTCCTTACGTACTTACGTTTTTAATGCATTTTAACTGGTTTGCTGTGTAAAATGTGCAGTTAACGGAAGTTTAGTAGAGATCTACCTACGTCAGTAGTGTTGGATAGATAAAGAGATGATTGAAGAGGAGAGAACCTATAGAAATAGATGAGAAGAACTCTAAAGCAAAGAAGATCAAGCTGGAAGATGGCCAAGAAGACTTGTAGTGAATGGGGAATACAGAATCATCAGAGAAAATCAGTCCAAAAAACAGAGATTCAGGATTGTAGTGAATGGTGAATACAGAATCATCAGAGAAAATCAGTCAGAAATCAGAGATTCAGGATTGTAGTGAATGGTTAATAGAGAATCATCAGAAAAAATCAGTCAGAAAACAGAGATTCAGGATTGTAGTGAATGGTTAATAGATAATCATCAGAGAAAATCAGT